GTTTTAATTATAAAATTTATATAAATTATATTATTAATTATTACTTAATTTTTTTTAATTATATATATAATAGATAACTATATTTGAAAAAGTTAAATAATAATTAAATTAATGTATATATATATATAAATTTTATCAACTTCAAATATTATTTTTTAAAAAACAATAACTCTTTCTATTGATTCTCTGATCATATATAAAAAAGATGTTCACAAGAAATTTTATACTTCTTTGCTAATAAAGTCTTTATACTTTCATTAAAACAATTTGAAACTTATCTTTATGTATCTCTTCTATCCTCCCTTAATTGTTTATAAACTTCTTTGAATAAAAACTTAAGTCTCTAGTGATCTGAAAAAACTCAAGTATGCACTTTCTCTATTAAGAGTAAGAAGGTTTTAGAAAATAAAAGGACTAATAAGTGGAGTGTTGCTTTACAGAGCTAGAAGTAATAAGAAATAGAGGTTTTGTTGATAAAAGAAGACTTATTATTTACCTTCTCACATACTGTCTTGTATCTTTTTAAAGTGTCTACTGTTTTTTATGATTTTCTTGAGTAATTTTGCCTACCTTAGTTTGACCTTAAATTTTTGATAACACAATGTTACCTGGTATCTGATTAATTGACACAAAATATATTAGTAGCTGAATATAAACATGTTCCTACTGGTTACCTTATATGTTTCAATGATGTCATTGGTAATTAAAAGAGTTGATTGGTGCCTATATATACTCCACTTCTCAAATTTGATTAACCTATAGATTAAGTTCCATAAAACAATAAGATATGAGCAACAAGTCTCCAGGTGATGAAAAAGCTGCTATTTATTCAAGCTAAGGTTTTTTTCTCATATTATCTCAGTCAGGCAAAGTTCAAGACCAAGGTCTCCTTTTTATCTTAGTCAAACAATGAAACTAAATGGTCTCTAGTCCATATTAAGTTTCAATCCTTTGATTACAATTAAGAATACATTTTTCTAAAAATTGTTGAAGGATATTGCAATTAACAAGAATTCTCATTATTTTCGAGACTCTTTTATTATTACAAGGCAAAGGATTATTGGGGAATTTGATCTTTTAGGTAATAGAAGATGTTACTAGTAAAATTCCTTTAATTAGATGTGGTTGTTGGAAGATATTATACTGAAACAATATGATTCAATTCCTACAAGGTCATATAATAACATGAGGTCTATTATAAGTCGCCTCCCTACTGCAGATGAATAAAAATTATTACCCAAAGAAGGTTGGAACCAGGTATATCCTGGAAGTAAAGGTTTTCATTAAGCAATAAGTCTCCTCAGATGATACATAAGAAGAAAATTAAAATTAAAAATGAATAAGTTCCTTAGATAATCAGGAAAAGAAAGGATATCCCAATTGGATATTTCTTATTGAAAAGAGGTCTTGAAAAGCAGGTTTTTGAAGAAAGCTGAAAATATTTTTTTTCAATTATTACTTTTTCATTTTCTTGTTGTCTACTTAGACATTTTAAATATCATCTCTTTCCTTTTTCAACTCATCCTTTTGTAGTTTCCTATATTCCAATGGCTTGATATGATATACAGCAGGACAACTTGTTGATAATGATGTAATGTACTAGGAGAGTTTTTACCCAAAGATATTGCAGAGTGAAATATTGTTCTCAAGGTCAAACTTAGAGGCTTTTATACCTATGACAAGTTAGTTAAATTAAAATAATAGTTTAGCTATAGTATGTATCATGCTGCTTGAATGAAAATATACTTATGTTTTCAATTGGTTAATAAATTAACAATCTAACCTGACTATGGGTACTCAAAAAAAAAAATTTTGTTGTTTTTTAAAAAATTTGAATTAATATTTTTTGATCTGATCTATAAATTATTAACTACTGCACTTATGATCTATAGGTCCTGATAATTCAATTATAATATTAATAATAACTTTTGTTAATTAATTAATTAACATTTGAATTTTATTAATAAGAATTTTTAAAATATGGGTAATTATTTTTGAAGGCTGACTGGAAATTTTCTGGCACTAAAATTGTGATCCTAAAATTTACATTACGTATTTGTGTGTTGTTTAAAAGTAGGGTCCAAAAAATAATATCTAGCATTTTGTTGCCTTCAAAAATAATTACCCATATAAATTATTAATACAGTATTAATAATTCTTAATTAAATAAAAGATATTAAAATGAAAATTTCATATAATAAAAAAATAAAGCTTAAGAAATTTATTTTATTTATTTAATAGTATAATAAAATCATTTAATATTTAACAACACACTGCATATCAATTGAAAAAAAAACAAGTTTGATATCATTATACAAAATGTAAGTATTTTCTTAAAATATTATAGCATATTGATATAATTTCTCAAAGATATTAACCTCCTTCCTTGATCATATCGAATCACTCGGAAAAAAATGGTTCAAAATTGATAATAATCCGGTTCAGAACTAGTCGATTTCATGGTATCCTTAAATTCATTCTTCCAACCCGAAATCTTATCAATTAAGTTTTCTGCCTGCTGCAATTGATCTTCTAGCCATGTAATATCTGCTTCCTTATGTTTTGCTATGTTCGTATTAGGTAACAATGATTTCAGCGCTTGGTCAACTTCCTCCTTGTGTTCATTACTAAAAAAAAAAAAAAAGAATGAGTTTAGATAATGAAAAAGGGTACAATGAGACAAATAAAACTGACTTTTGTCTCCCTCGAGCTTATCTGGTTAGTTACTTTGGTGCTTTTAACATAAAGCTGCCATTCCAGAATCAAGACCAAGGCCATTATAATAGAACAGAGTTTCTCAGTAAAATAGGGATCCTATTAAATCAAACGCAAAAGTTATTGATTCACGAAGACACGAAATATCCAAATGTCATCCTTCGGCTAATACGAATCTTAGTACTTATAGGTCTGAATGAGTCTACCCTAGTCTCAAGGGTCATGGATTTATTTAAAGACCTGAATAATGAACCTCGATTGAAGAATTATAAGTA